TTGTTTGCTGCTGTTGCTTTTTGCTTTTCTTTTTTTGTTTTGGTGACACAATGGTCTTTAGGTTAGCTTTTCTCTGTTCTTAGTATTTACTTTAACTAATTCTTTTGCATTCACTATGAATAGCCCTCCCTCTCTGTCAATATTCCAATTTGAAATTGTGTCTTGTCTGTTTTTTGCAGTTTCTAATTTATGTAACAGGAAGTGGTGAGCTCTTAGTTCTTTACTTCTTTGGTTTTGTGCTTTACATCTATTTTTGTTGTTTTTATCAAGTTGTCTTTTAGTTCTAGCTCCACTGAATTAATTTCCTTATTTGGTTCTATCTTGAGCCCTCACATGGGCTTTTCATCTGTTTTTTTTTTTTTTTTTTTTGCAAGCAGGGTAACTTTGCTTCATATGTCTCCTGTTGAATGAGTCTACAGTCACTATGTTCCTTCTCCTCTTACTTGTGTTGAGTCTAGGCGGCTCTGTCCAGGTTCTATTTTCTCTGATACTGTGCCATAATTTTCTTTGATCTTTTGCCTGATAATGTGTAATTTACGTGGCATTCCAAGCTAGAATGGCAGCTTGAGTAATTTCAGTATTGCATTCTATCTACTTTTTGTTATGGTGATGTAAGGTGAATCTAAGACAGAGGGTAGCATTTGTTAGTGGGTTTAGTTTTTACTTTCCAGCTCAGATTTTGTTAACAGTCCTGTATCAGGATTGTCTCTACTTGGAAGGGGGGAGATTCAGTCTGTGAGAGTGCACCTCCAGGCTTCAGATGAGTTTTCTTTAATTGTGTAGCACCAGTGCCTCTGATCCCTCCTGAGTCAGCCCTAGCTGTTTACTTCCTCATTTGGTTCCTTTGCCCTTAGTACAGGGAAAGGATTAGGTGGGGTTTCCACCAGGGTTAACAGTGAGGCAGAGAGTTTGGGGGAAGGCTGTTTTGACTGTGGCTGCAGTGGAACTGTTTCCATTGGCTTTTTACTCAGAGTAGCTTTTCTTCCTATTTTATTTTATTTATTACTTGGGATAATTAGATATAATGTTGTTTTTTTCTGTGTGACTTCCCTATTATTTCCCTCAATCAGAGGCATGGACATGGAGACCTTTGGAATCTCCTCTGTCCTCCACCAGGTCCTGCATCAACCTTCAGGATTTTATATTTCCAGGGATTTCTCAGGCCTTTTCCTTGGCTGACTGTTTACCTCCAATTTTGCTCCTTTCCCCATTGGAGGACACTGGGTGAATTCTCGTGGTTTTGTGAACCTTCTTTTCCTAGCACAGTTATAGTGAGTTGGGGATCACCTTCAAGATCCAACTTAGCTTTGGCAGAAGCTCTGTTTCTTTTCTTGGCTTGCACTTTTTCGAGAATTATTGTTATGCTTTTTTCCCTTGTTTATTTGCCATTAATTTCTTTTTCCTGATGTGTGTCTGTGGTGTTTACTTTTTTTCTCATTTCCTCCACTAGTCGTTGAATAAAAGGCAGTCTGCAATCTTGCCTCACTCTGACATGTCTACATGGGAAGCACCAGCTAATCTTTTTCAAATGGTGTTCACGTGGGTTCGAGGGTGAAAATTACTGAAGAAACCATTCCATCTTTCACACATCCTACGTGTGAATATCAGTCCTTTAAATGGCACAGGCTTCTGGGAGGCAGAACTGTTGAAACTAGGTGCAAATGAAAGTGGAGGAGTGATAATTTGAGATGTTTTTCAACTTTAAGCTTGAGACTAGATTAGAAAGGGATCTGTTCATAGATCACAAAGTGTATTTTTTGCTACATTTTAATAAAGTTTTCCTTTCCCTCCCCTACTCTACCCTCAAATTGGTAAAGGGTGAGTGAACATACATGTTGTTTTTATGGGCGAATGTGGCCTGTGACCTTGATACTATTCTTTCTTTCCTTTTTATCCCCCCTGAGGATTTTTTTCTTCCTTTCCACATCACAGCCTGCTATACAAATACTCTGGGAACAGTTTATGCTTAAGCATTTTCTATTCCTCTTTGTATCTCATGTTGAACAGGAACATTCACATAACCAACTCACAAATGCAAATGTGTAACTTCGAAGCTGCATTCCCCTGGGAACTTGGGAAGAAAGTGTGCATTCAACAATTCCACGTGTACCATCTCAGAGATGCTCTTCAGTGACACCCCAATTGATTCTCTCACATCTATGAGGCAAGTGTTGGCTACAGAGCTAAAAGCAGGGCTAGAATCTGTGACTGAGTGATGGTGTGGAGGGGGGAGAGCAAGAAAAACTGGGCCAGTGGCTTCAGCAAGGGATGTGACAAAGCAGACTGTATTTTATAGGCACCCTCAGATAAGGCATGGTGAACAGGAGAACTCTAATCTTCTGCCCCATGTGACCCTTTGATAGCCACATTTGTTGAACTCAGGATGAGTTGTAGGACTACAGACTTCTAAAATGTTCCTTGACCAGAGAGTTAGCCAACCCATTTCCAGGACAACCTGTGCTGTGTAATAAAATACCTGCAGCACCCCAATTTGATGGTATATCTTACTTAAAAGGTCATTCCAGCTAGACTTGGTTCCTGAGGCTTGAAAACCATTCTGGTGGATAAGTAGGTAGTACCCATCTCCCAAAGATAATCATTTGTATCTGGGCCTGGGATGCTGGGTGTTGCTCCATGTGTGGCCAGAGGTCACCTAGGGTTGGAGGAGATTTCTGGGAGAAAAAAGGCTGAGGACATGGCTGTACTTCAACGAGTGTCAAAATATAAGTCATGCCTGGTAGGGAGAGGGTGAGTGCATAAAAGGGCCTTGAGAAGGAACCCATCCAAAGAAATGAAGCTCACACTCATCCCATATTGCAGATTAGTAATGGAAGCTGACATGGTTAAGTAGTTTGTCCAAGGTTACACAGATTCAGGATTTGAACCACCTTGATGCTCTTTTGTTCAAAATCCCAGCCATGTTTGTGGAGGCAACCAAGGAGGAGGTGAACTTCACTAGAAATCTCAAACAGTTTTAGCTGGTTAGCAGCTCTACTTGAGGCAATGAATAAGACAAAAGGGAAGTGATTTAAAGACTGAGGGAAATGGTACCCCTTCAGACTTGTGCCAGGTAAGGTAATCTGTGTTTGGATTAGAGATCTATAATTATGTAAATTTGCATACATCTTTCTCAGATATGCATAAACTGGGGAACATTGTGGAACTAAATATATTTATATGTGTTCAACATACTGTATAATTGACTCAATTATCCACGTGGGGATTATTCCCTTTTAATTTGCAATCTGGCTTCTCTATTCAGTTAGGATGTTTTTGGGCTGCTCCAGGAATGCTAACTAATTTAAATAATAATTGAAGTAACACATAATTAGGAAGGAAAATTAAATCCAATCTTTTGCCAGCTCTTGAAGATTCTACTGTTGAAATGTAACTCTAATCCATCCACTGTCTTTTCCTTCCCCAACTGCCTTTTTAGTACCACAGGATTTTATTTGTTTTTCTTAGATTATTGCAATAATTTCCTGTGTAGCTTTCCTGCTCACGTCTTTCCAAACCAATCATCATTCGGCTGCCAGTAATCTTTAAAAACAGAAAGAAAAAAAAACAGAAGAAAAAAAAAAGGAAAAACAAACAGCTCCATCACAAAGATCTCTTTACTTAAAAACATTTGATGCATGGAAGAGAGAGAGAGAGAGGAGAAGAAGGAAGAGGAGGGGAGAGGAAAGGAAGGTACAGGGGGAGGAGGAGGAGGAGAAGAAAACGCAACACTTAGTGCCTATCCATTCTTCTCTAGATTAAGTGCAAATACCAAAACCTGTCATTCATCCCTCTTCTAGCTTCCATTCCCGACTGTTCTTCGAACTCCACTCAAAGCCTTCTTCTGTCCCTCAGCCGTTGCTCATTCCACCTCTGGCCCTGAAATACCTGCTCATCTCTGTAGGATCACTGCACCTGCCACCTGTCCTGTACGCTTTCTTGCTCCTCTTCTCTGCTACTCCCATCTTTGAATTCCCTTAACGTAGTCCACGTTTCTAAGGCAGATCAACGTTTTTTGTGAAAACACATAGTGCTCCTGCCTTCCAGGGAGATCCTTCACAGCACTTTTTGCAGTGGTTCATCTCCCTTACTAGACTGCTGAACCCTAAAGAGAGGCCCAATAAACAACCTGTGCATTTTCACTGCTGCCAAAACCTGGAGTGCAGGAATGCTGGTCTTTTGACCACCTCACCGCCACCCCCTACCCCGCTCTGGCCACCAGTTCCTGGCTTAGAGCTTGGCATACAGTAGGCGCTCACTGAGTACCTTGTGGAAGGAACCCAGGGACACCCCTCAGGCCCTGAGGGTGCAGACCTGGTGATGGTGGTGCTGAGGGTGCACAGGTCTCACAGGGCAGATGCGTGGGGCTCGCTTTAATTGGGAAAGACAGGACTGTAAAATAGGTACAGTGTGTATGTGGGGGAACTTGTGGGAGGGGAAGGGTGAAGAAAGATATTAAGGTGAGGGAATATGGTTGACGGACTTCTTATACTTACATGAAATAGAACAAAGAAATCTCTTGCAATTAAGTGGGGAGCGGGGTGGGTAGAGGGGGAGAGATGGTGAGGATGATCTAACCAATGTACAATATAAGCCTACTTGAAATTGTCACAATGAATGGATCGATACAACGAATATATCCTAGTTTAAAAAAAAAAAACTGCCTTAATGAAAATAAAATTGAAAATGCTACCTCTACCGCACATGTGTAGTACGCACATGACATCCATGCACATCCGTCCCTGCACAGCAAGCCTAGCCAGGCATGCTCACTCATATATAAATGGATATGTAAACATAAAAGGATGTACAGCTCAGCCCCGACTCCTACAGGGTTAGGGAGCCTCGCTCTCTCGCACTCCCGCACAACGGGCGCGGTTCCCTGCGCATGCGCACGCTGCGCCGAGGACGCGCGCGCCCGGCGTGTGACGTAAGCCTCACGGGCTTCCATGCGTTGCGCGCTGATTGGCTGGCTGCGCTCAGCTGATGCCCTTCGGCCGGAGAGGGAGCTGCAAGCATGGCGGCGCCCGCGGCCCAGATGCTGCCCGAGAGCCCCAGGTAGCTGTCGGATGGGGCGCTCGCGGGTGACGCGCACGGGGCTGCCATGAAAGTGTCCCTGCCTTGCACGGGGGTGGGCGTGGGGCGTGGTAGAAGCTCGGGGCGGGCGGAGGCTCCCCAGTGTAGGACTTTCTGTTACTTGTGTCTGTGGATCCTTAAGTTCCCAGGCGCTGACCTGAGAGTGATGGGCAAGGCTTACCTGCACTGGCTGGAGGTATTCAGTACCTAATGAGTCTTAATATCCCAGGCTTGGGCAACATTGCCTCTCAACTTCTTATTTTTTAGTTAATTCGTCAGTGTGATTGGTAAGACTGGCAGTCCAGGGTGGTGAAGCAAAGCTCTTTTTTGTTATTATTATTATTTTTTAAACGGTTCTGGGGTTTGAACTCAGGATCTCACGCTTGCTAAGCAGGCGCTTTACCATTTGAGCCCCGCTTCTTCCTAGCTCTTTTTGCTTTAGTTTTTCAGGTGGGTTCTTGTATTTTTTCTCTCCTTCCTACGCCTTTTGCATACTTGGCCTTTTGTTTTGTTTTGTTTTTTTCCTTCATTTTGGGCAGCACTGGGGTTTGAACTCAGGGCCTCAGGCTTGCTAGGCAGGTGTCTGCACTTGAGCCACGCTCCAGCCCTTGCTTTTTGTGTTGAGATGGGACCTCTTTTTTGCCCAGGCTACCAGGCCACTGTGGGTCTCCTGGGCTCAACCTCTCTTAAGGGCCTGTCAGCCATGCCAATTTCAGTGTTTACCTTTAAAATAAAATAATTTTTAGTAGCAGTAACATAAATAACAGTGAAGGTGGCATGTGGATACAGAAGAAGTACTAAATTATATAAGCAAACAACTGAAGTTGGAAAATAACATCTTCCTGCCTGGATTGGGAAGAAATCTGGAAGAAGAGAGTTGGCAGTTAAAGCTTCTTCTTTGGTTCTGACAGCTTGTTGTTTTCCTCAAACGAGTGTTCCTAGGGAATCACAGTAAACCTTGTCCAAGATGGTGCAGAGTTGTTCTGAGCACTTAGTTGAAGTTGATTATTACAAGTGAAACAGGACTTTAAAGCAGCTGAATACTTAGTAACTCCAAATGGTTTTGTGTGTGCTCTCCTCTCCCTCATTTTCTTTATGTTTTTGGGTGTAATTCCCTAGATTGCCCCTCCCCCTTCTCCTTTCAGAGTTTTCATTCTGAATCAAGTGGTGACATGAAAACACTACTAAATTGCCATTCTGCCAGAGCACATGCTTCCCCAACTAGTGTGCTTTGCCCAAACCAGAAAGCTTGCCAAATGGGCAGTTTAGGGGGGGTATTTCTGGAAATGTTTGGATTATATTTGACTCTTTCCCAGCTGCTTTCATGCAGACTCACCTGTAGCAGAATTCTTGAAATTAATTTTATACACATCTATAGAGAATACATTAAAAAAGCTCATTTTGAAACTTTGTTTTTCAAATTTATTTAGCATGAACAAAGCAGTGTCGCTGATAAATGCAATAGACATAGGAAGATTTCCGCGATTGCTTACCCGAATTCTTCAAAAACTTCACCTGAAGGTTTGTATTTTTGTATTTTTATAGCTTGTAAAACTCCCTTCTCATTCCACTGAAACTGTTATTGTTTGTAGAGTTTTTTTTTTTTCCCTGTTTTTTTCAGCACTGGAGTTTGAATTCAGGACCTTATTATTGCTAGGCAGGTGCTTTACCACTTGAGCCGCACCTCTAAGCCCCTCTCTTTTTTTGTGAGATCCATTGTTCTCCAGTGTGTTCTCAGGAGCACTGGGTCTATGGGGGAGTTAAGAATGTCCCTGGTCAAAAGTTTGGGAACCTCTGTGTTCCACAAAGTTAATTTTTTTAAATTATGGAACTTTTCAGAGTATTTCATATACTAGTGTTTGTGGTAAATATCTAAGAGTAAAGACAATGTGTAAAATTTTCCAAATGTGTTTGACCTTAGAACTGCTTTATCGTGGTATATATTTTGAGACTAACGTTCTATGGAAAATGCTCTGGGAAAATTCTGATTTCATCCTTCCTGTTCAAAATAATTCTGTGAGATATGCTCTCAGCACCTAATCTTTCATTTAATTGTGTTTCTTTTCTGCTTTTATTTCAAAGGCGTAGTTGTTTTGGACATGTGGATGTTTGGAAATTCATTACTTGGTCACTAATCCAAGTTACTTCCCTTATCAGGTTATAAACATTTAATTCCATCAGCACACATTTCTGGAGCACCTAGTAACTCCTCTGCCTGGTGCCAGGCATCAACATGCAGTTAGATTCCACACCCCTTCCTCTTCCTTTTCTCAGCTAAGAGACAACCCAGAGCCATGGCTTACTCCACTGAGTGCTTCTCAGATCTGTTCTCCTCACAGCTGTAGTTCAGATCCTCATTATCTTCTCCTTGAACTATAAGTTATCTTCAAACTTGTTTCCCTGTACACTCTTCTTGCTTCCTGAGCCACCCCGAGGAAACTTCAACCCCCTAACGTGTGTTTGATCCAGTATAATGCAGTCAGAGGCTACTTTCCCCCTATTTCCAAGTGCTCCTGTCACACTGGACAGGGCTCTTTTAACTATAAAATGCCATGGACCTTTTCAATTGTTGTGCATATATTCTTCCTCTTGTCTCCTCCAAATGTCCTCTTTCCTATTTGTGTGTGTGTTTGTGTCAAGGTCTCACTATGTGACTTAGGCTGGTTTGGAATTCACTTTGTAGCCTAAGCTGGCTCACACTCACAGCCTCCCAAGTTTCTTCTTCCCTTCTTTACTGAGAAAGCTATTCATTCTTCAAGGCTTTTACAGTTTTACTCTCAGAAGTTGGTTGCTCTCTTTTCTGTTCTTCTAAAACCATTGGCTTATTCTCACCTCACTTTAGTACTACACCATAAATTTTCATTTTGTTTTTAGAAGGCAGTCAGATCCCTTATCCTCTTCACTAGTCTGCAGCCTCTGGCCTTAAATGTCTCGAGGCTCATGTGGTACTCCTTTTGGTGTCTCCCATTCCTAATATGTTCTGCGGACACAGTTGACACTCAGTACACTTCTTGCAGTTGATCCTTTTCTTTGCCATGGGAAACATAAAACAAATGTAGGTCCTCAAAGTTCCTGCTTTGACGGAATTTGTGATGCAGTTGGAGAGACAGGAGAAATAACAACAGAATCAGCAACATTTTGTCACATTGTTCTCTCTGTGATGGGTATTCCCCTAATGACTTTGTATTATTAATTCATCAACTTGTTACAGTAAGTTCAAGTGGATATTAATGTTACCCTCATTTTATCCATGAGGAAATCCACATAGAACCTAGTTATAAGTACCATGTAAGCTAGTGATTTAATCTGCTCTAGATGCTGTTCCCTTAACCCATTGCACTAAACCTCAGGAAAGAGCATAAAACATTATACAAATCAGCCTCAAAGTGAAAGCTATAGGCAAGAGATTCAGAAGTTCTGCTTTGTTTCTTGAGCTGGTGACTGTCTTATTAAATGTGTAAAATAATACAGAACAGGAAAGGTATCTCATCTTTTGCTCTTGATACTGAGGAGGGTAGTCTTTCATACTTTCAGTCACCTATGGAGTTGAGAGCAAGTTAACAGAGTAACTTGAGAATAAGAAACACTGAGGGAAGACAGGTGAACTTCCACAGCTGAGGGGTTGGAAGTAAACATTTTGGCCTCTGAGCTTTGGACTTGCACAATAAAGTACTTCTGTATTGGCCCCACAGAAGAGACATGTGCCTTCCCACAAAGCTTCAGATGTAATGGAGTTCCGAGAAGCCAGCCCTCTGGGTTCCTGACCATGGCAGTCTAGAAGCAGCAAAAGCGCTTCTCTGATGGGGCATGAGGAGCTTCAAGACAGGCCTGCCAAGCAGGGAATGGGACAGAGGAGTTATGAAAGATAAGAGAAATGTTGATCAGGAGTTTTTTAGTGGAAGTGAATATGGTCCATATCTTAGCACTTTCCTAGGATGCTGCAGTGCAGAGCCCCAGTGCTGCTAGTTGTCACCTGAGACATCACAAGAAGTTAATGTTGTTTACGGCAGTCTGGATGGGGGTGGGGCATGCCTTCTAGAAATTCACCAGCTCACCAGTGTCCTTTCATCACAGATTCTCTGTCCTTCAAAGTTCTATTTCGTATATGAATCATCTAGTTTTCTGTCAGGTGTGAGTTGTGCTATCTGAGTGTGTGCTAATGAGCTTCTGTTTGTGTTTGTAGGCTGAGAGCAGCTTCAGTGAAGAGGAAGAGGAAAAGCTTCAGGCTGCGTTTTCTCTAGAGAAACAAGATCTTCACCTAGTTCTTGAAACAATATCATTTATTTTGGAGCAGGTATTTTTATTGCCTTAAATTTGCCTGACTGTGGTTTGTTTATTACAGTTTTGTGCTGCTCTGGTATCTGTAGCATTCTGTTCTTTAAGTGTGGAAGATGGAAGCTGAATATATTTTAGTCAAGAATATCAACAGTTATGCATTTAAGTACATAATTTCTTTCCACATTTCATCCTACAAAAAGGTGTTGACTACATTAGTAAAGATTTGGTAATGTGAATTGAGATGTTATTAATTTGAGGCAGTTACAAAAGAATTGAATTCACTGTTAGTTGATACTAATGAATAATAATAGAATAATAATTTGGAAAAATGAACACATTTTATTTAATAAAGAAATAAATGATTTGAGAGATATATTTGGATAGGATGATGATTAAAAATGTAGAAAAGCAACTTTGTCACAGTACTTTTCACTCCTGAGCTTCCCTTCTGCCTCCCTCCCTTCCTCTGTCGTTGAAGCCATTATTGATGCTCCTATTTGAGTCACTGCTGGTGACCTTACACTTGTGCGCTTCCCTCACTTGGACGTCTTTGTCCTTGGTTCATCTCAGTAGGAAATGTGCATCCTTAGTCTTCATTATTTCATGTGTGTTATTATGTCACCTTCCTAGGAGGCCAGGATCACATTTTTGTGCATTTTGTATAGCCTGGCTTGTTGCTGGGCTTCGATACAACCTCAACAGGACCCAATAGACTAAATAGGACACTGGCAAAATATTAGATACTTGTGAATGACACATACTTTCCTGGACATTCTGCTGAGCAGTAGGAAGGCAAGATGCCAGGCATCTACTACTGTGTTGTTTTGTTTTTCTTTATTTGTAGTACTTGGGTTTGAACTTAGGCATTGTGCTTGAGCTGTGTCCCAGCCCTATTTTGCTTAGTTATTTTTCAGATAGGGTCCAGCTGCTTGAGGCCAACCTTGGACCATGATCCTCCACCTCTGGTGTATCTGGGATTATAGGCATTCACTACCATACTGGGCTTATTTGTTAAGATAGGGTTTTGCTAAATTTCGCTTGGGCTGCCCTTGAACTACAATCCTTTCCATCTTACTTCCCTAGGAGCTGAGATTACAGGCGTGTGCCACCAATGCCTGACCTACTGTAGCCTTATATAGATTGCAGATCATAACAAAGACTAGTTTTTTGCCTTTGGTAAGCCTTCAGTAGGAAAAAAAAGATAATTGAAAAAGATAGCACAGGATGAAGTTTATGGGAAAGTTTTTCAGAGTGTGAGAAACAGATCAGGTGTTACTGTTAAAATTTTTAAAACATTTTTATTATGAATAACCTAGGAAACTGGTAAATGAAGTTAGTTTTGAGAGCTGTTTAGAAAAAAATTTGAGGAATGAATCTACTATAAACTGAATAATTAAATGAAATAAATGATATTTTAATTAGAGTACCATTTACATACATCAAGGAAGAAAAGGTTTTGGTGATTAAGTGGATCTAGGATTGTTTAAAAACTACAGACAAAAATGAAAAGTTTAGTCTGAATAATTTAGACCTTTTCACCCTGAGTCTTTTAGCTCTTGGTTGTAGATATTGTCATTTGTGAAATAACCGAAAATGTCCATGATAGGAGTGTGGAATGGTCTTTTGACAGGGTCATTTTAGTAGTTTTGTTGATTGCAGGTCCGGGTCTGTGAGTGTGAAGGATAACGTGTGATTCTTCCTCTTTGACAGGCAGTGTACCACAATGTGAAGCCAGCGGCTTTGCAGCAGCAACTAGAGAATGTCTGCCTCAGACAGGAAAAAGCAGAGGCGTTTGTCAACGCCTGGTCATCGCTGGGCCAGGACACAGTCGAAAAGTTCAGGCAGAGGATTCTGGCCCCCCACAAGGTATGGGACTCACTATTATAAGACATTTTTCCAAAATTCCAGCCTAACTTTTTATATCTGAGGAGTTTTTAAAGGTATTTTATTTTGTTGAAGGTAGAGTCAGGAAAAGAAAGTACATACACAGTATTCCTATACAATTATTTCTACATATTAGCATATTTTCTATCACATTGTGATTTAAATTTAATTGACAATTTAATATATGTGCCCATAATTTAATAGGAATGTGACTGTTTTTGTTCTTTTAAGGTCCTTAGACAGTGTTATTCCTTTTATCTTTGTCCTTATGTATAAGACTTACTTTAACTTTTGCTTACTCATGCATTTGTTTCTTTGCATCTGCTTTGGTGCTTAGCAGTAGGTTCTCAGTTAAGATCTATTAACTTGATGGCTCACAGTGAGTAAAATGAACACTGGAGAAAACAAAAGAACCACAATGTCATAGCTCTTTTTTTTTTTTTTTTTTTGTGGGGGTTTACTGGGCTTTGAACTCAGAGTCTTGAATTTGCTACGCAGGGCTCTACCATTTGAGCCACTCCTCTTGCCCTTTTGGCTTCATGTTTGTAGCCTGATCTAGTTTTACAAAGACCTTCTCTTTTGTTTCTTCCTAAGTGTTTTATATAATTATGTTTTACAAGTCTAAGATCCATTTTAAGTTAATTTTGCACAAAGTACAAGGTGCAGGTCACAGTTCTTTTTTCCGCCCGTAGGAGCTCCATGTGTTCCAGTATTGTTTTCATTCACATTATCCTTTGTCAAAAAGCATTAACATATTGGTGAGTCTTTTTCTGGATTCTCTGTATGATTTAACTGATCTATCATGTGTCAATATCGTCTTTCATGAATTATTATAGTTTTATAGTAAGTCTGATTAGCTAGTGTGAGTCTGATAACTTTGTGCTTTTCATAATTGTTTTTGCTATTCTAGTTTCTTGACTTCCTATATAAATTTGAAAATCAGCTTTTCTGTATCTCTAAAAAAATCCTTCTGGGATATTGACTGAGATTGTGGTTAATTTGTAGATCAGTTTGTTGTGAAATAGCTTCTTAACATTATTGAGTGCATGTTTCCATTTATTTAATTTCTTTTATCAGCATTTTTCATTTTTATCATACAGATCCGCTATATATCTTGTTAGATTTGTAGTTAAATATTTCATTCTCCCTTCCCCCATCTCCCAAAGTGAGATACCGTCTTCTCTAGGCAGCCCACGCTGGCCTGGAGCTCCCTGTGTAGCTCTAGACGACTTCAAGTTCTAGATCCTCCTGCCACAGCCTACAGAGTACTGGAATTATAGGTGTGTACCACCATGCCCAGCATGTTTTTTTGAGTCATTCGTAGATGGTGTATTTTTAAAATGTTAGTTTCTAATTGTTTATTGCTAGAATATTAGAAATAGAAATACAATTAATTTTTTTCATGGTGGTTCTGTGGATCAAACCCAGGGCTGCATGAATGCTAGGCAAGTGCCTTATCCGATGGCCTTGATAAGTTTTCTAATTAGTAATAGCTTTTTTTACTTGTATATTCTTTGTGGTTTTTTTAGTAGACAGTGCATCATCTGTGAATAGACAGTTTTATTTTTCCAATCTATGAGCTTTTTATTTTTGCTTGCCTGATTTCACTGGCTAGGACTTTCAGTAGGATGTTGAATGTGAGAGAGAATTCCTTCCTTTTTCTCAGTTTTCAGGAGAGAGCATTCAGTCTCTCATCGTTAAGTAAGATGTTAGCTATAGAGTTTTAGAAAATGCCCATTTATTGTTTTCATCTCTCTGACTCTTTGTCTCTGTCTGTCTCTTTTGGTGTACTGGGGTTTGAACTCAGGACTTCATACTTGCTAAGCAGGTGCTCTATCACTTGAACCACATCCCTAGCCTTTTTGTGTTGGCTATTTTTAAGGTAGGATATTGTGTTTTTGCCAGAACCAGCCTGGACCGTGATCTTCCTGCTTGTGCTTCTCACCACACCCATCTTCTGGTTGAGATGGTTCTTGCTAACTTTTGCCTGGACTGATCTTGAACCGATATCCTCCCATTCTCTGCCTCCTGAGATTTCAGGCTTGAGTCACTGTGCCCATCTGTCTCTTTTTTTTGAACTTCGTGTACTCATTGTCCTGCAGTGTCTTGTACATAGCTGTTTCACTTGAATTTCTATATTTTCTTACATGCTGTACAGATGATAAATTCTCTATTTTGTCTCCACGAAGTTCTTTTTTCACTGTCTTCATTTAGAAAAATCTCTTCTTGCCTTTTAATTTCAGCCTATTCTGTACTTAGAGTTTCCTTCTATTTTAAATAGAATCAAGTTTTCTTGCATCTAAATAATCAAACTATATAGTTCAAAATATGTTTTTTCCATGCTTCAAGTTTCAGTGTTTTCTGGATGATTGTTTTTTTTAAAGCAGTATTTTTCTCTGATGGTTTTGTAATTTTAGCTTCTATTTAAGAAGTCATTTAATGAGTTGTCATAAAGTATGCAAAAAGCCCAAGTTGGGGTGGTGTATGCCTGTAATCCCAGCTACACAGAAGGCTGAGATTAGAGGATTATGAGTATGAGGCCAGCCTGGGTGACATAGTGAGGTAGCAAGGTCCTGCCTTAAAAAAAACTAGAAGTTGGAAAGAGTTGATTACTTGTACATTAGCCCTTGAGAAATTATATTTTGCTAATTCCCCATATATAATTGGATAGCAAAAACATTATTTTAATGTCTCAAACAATTAAGATGTACATTAATAACATTTATTAGGTTTATGGTGGGTCAGGTTCTGTCTAAGTGCTTTACATCCCACTAAACTCACAAATAGTTTTAGTTTATACTATAAAACTAAGGGCTAGGGAAATCACTTTCCCACTGTTAAGCAGCCAAGTTAGAATTTAACTCATAGTCACACTCTGTAGGCATTATGCTATACTATCCTGTCCATATTAGCTGCAAAATCCTTCTGGTCAGGCATTATAGAGTATGATTTATAAGTTATGTGTTTTTGAGAGTAAGGAGATGAAGCTTCAGAAAGTGAGGCAGCTGTGCCATGTTACCCCAGGTAGTTGAAGGGAATGCTGAGGTAGGAATCTCACCTAGTTCTAAAATTATGTTGCTGCCTCTGACAGCTGGCGTATTTTCTTCCTTGTACATCCTCATGACTATTTAGGATATGGTGCTAAAGTAGCCATGTATGAAAGCATGTCATTTAAGAATTTTAAAAACTAACATTGAGTTAATATAGAATGAAAAAAGGAGTGTACACGTGATTATAACCTTGTTTGATGGGAACTAGAGGCTCGCCCATGCAAGCTGTCTCTGTGGCACTTACTTCAAAGTAAGTAAGAATTAAAATAAAAATCTGAAATTAAAAGTCAAAAGGTATTCAGTTTTTAAAATACCTCTTTGGCTTTATTGAGGTACAGTTGAAAAATAATGATGTGTTTTTAAGTGTGCAATGTGATTTTATATACATTGCGTACTGATTACCACAGCTACATCAGTCAACACACCCATCACCACAGCTATTCTTTTTTTGGTGTATCTGTGGGGGAGCACATTTAAAATCCCCCTTCTTTGCAGATTTCACACGCACAACACAGTATTATTATTGACGATAGTCCCCGTGCTTATACCTGAAAGCTGTAATGGCAGGCATCTCCCATTTCTCCTGGACCAGCCCTGGGCAACCACTGCTCTGCTCTCTAACTCTGAGCTTCACTTTTTTAAGATCCACATACCAGTGAGATCATGAAGTTTTAGTCTTTCTGTCTCTAGTTTACTCCACTTAACATAATATCTTCCAGGTTCATCCATGCTGTCACAAATGGCAGTGTATTTTTAATGGATGAATAATACTCCATTGTGCATAAATATCACTCATTCATTGACAGACATCTTGGCCATTGTGAATAATGCTACAGTGAAATGGTGTGTAGTTATCTCTTCAAGACAGTAATTTCTTCTCCTTCTGAGGCATATGGCAGTTCTATTTTAATTCTGTGAGAAACCTTCATACTGTTTGCAGTAATGACTGCACCAATTTATATTCTCACCAGCTGTGTATAAGGGTTCCTTTTTGTCTGTACTCTTGCCAACACTTGTCATATCTTGTCTTTTTGAAAACAGCCTTCCTGACATACAGAGATAATACCTCATTGTGTTTTGATTTGCGTTTTCCTGATGATAATTGATGTTGAACACCTTTCCATATATTTGTTGGCCATTTTTATGTCTTCTTGGGGAAAATGGCTATTCAGGTGGTGTACCATGTTTTTAAATAGGGTTGCTTTTAAGCTGCTGAGTTATGTGAGTTCTTTATATCTTTTGAATATTAGTGCTTTATCAGATATGATCCTTGTGCATACTTTTTTGCATTTTGTGGTTGATTCCCTTTTGTTTTGTGATTGTTCCCTTTGCTGTGCAGAAGTTTGGTAGTTCAAGTTGTCCCACTTGATTGATTACTTTTGTCTCCTGTTCTTTTGGCTTCATGTCCAAAAATCATCACCAAGACCATTGTCAAACAGCTTTTACCCTGTGCTTTTTATCTAGAAGGTTTCAGTCTTTGATCCAAAGTTATTGTTTGTATATGGTGCAAGATCAGGACTCACTTTTGTTCTTCTATGTGTAACTAGTTCTTGGCATCCTTGTCAAAGATTAGTTGAAAAACCCCTCTTTTTGCCTTTTATTAAAATTTGGATTTAATAAACAGGGAGAGGCAGACCCAAGAATAACCTTAACAATAGCTATTTTTAGCATATGATTAAAAAGATTGATCATTTTTTATCTTCTTTTACTTTTTTAACATTTAATCTTTGAGAGACACAAAACTGAAATACCATCACCCCTTATTAGAATTTGTGTACTTCTTTTACCCATGTTGTCTATAGAGAATGTTCTTCAAACGGGGTTTTCTGTTTGATTTTTGTTATAATGTCTGTGTAGTCATAACATTTTTAAAATTACCAATCCCTTTCCGACAGAAATTGAATACTGTGTTTAGTTTTATTTCTGAAATTC